CCCCCGCCCCTGCCACTCTCTGCAGCCCAGAGCCAAGCTTTCCTCTTTTGGGCCTGTGTGAGCCATTCTGCCACGTGGGAGGGAGTGGGAAGCCAGAGGCCTTTTAGTCCTCAGAGGTCATGGTGGGTGGGCACTTCCCAAACCCCAGCTCCACTCTGTGCCCTTGAAACTGGGTCTGTCCTGGCACCAGGCCACTTACCTCTAACTCTCACTCCCCCAGCTGGTGGTTCCAGAATACTCTATCCACGGCCTCTTCTGTCTGATGTTTCTATGTGCAGCAGAGTGGGTAACCCTGGGCCTCAACATCCCCCTCCTCTTCTACCACCTCTGGAGGTGAGGGCTGCAGCTGCCTTAGGGAGGTGGGCAGGATGGGGATGGGAACCTCAATGGTGGGCACTGAGGTCCCTTCCGGCCCAGGTACTTCCACCGGCCTGCAGATGGCTCTGAGGTCATGTATGATGCGGTCTCCATCATGAATGCTGACATCCTCAACTACTGCCAGAAGGAGTCCTGGTGCAAACTCGCCTTCTACCTGCTCTCCTTCTTCTATTACCTGTACAGGTGAGGCCCTGCCATAGCAGTCAGAACTCAGGGAAGGAGTGTTTCCAGTATCGGCTCCCTTCCCATCCCATGTTCTTGCCCTTTGCCCTAGAGGACCAAGGGCAACCTAGGAGGGTATGACCAGGTGGGTGGCCGGGTGGCAGGCTTGTCAGGACTTGGCTCACTGCCTCATCTTCCTACAGTATGGTTTATACATTGGTGAGTTTCTAAGGGGGAAGCCGGCCAGGGAGTGAGCCCAGAACGGACCGGACGCCTGTGCACCCCCAGCCCTGCTCCTCGGCCGAAGAGGCCTCAGCCCTGGGGAGGGAGGGGGCACTGGTGCCCCCGGCCTCTCCACAACAACCTGCCCCCCCCCGAAACTGCTGCTGCTGCGGGGACTCCCCCGCCTTCAGAGCCCTCCCCTTGGACCAGGGTGGGGCAGAGATCTAAATAGGGGCAGGAACTTCTCTGCCAGCCTGTGAGCATGGCAGTCCTGGAAGGGGCAGGACCTCCAGCCTTGTCCATTTCAGGGGAAACTTGGGCCCTGCCATGGGGCAGAGTTTTACCCTGGAAGTTCTAGGCCACCCCCCTCCATTCCCACCTTGAGGCTCCCCCTGCAGGTGGGGGGGTACCCACACCCAGGAATGAGCAGGCTCAGCAGGGGGTCAGCCCCACTCCTAGTCTGCCCTCCCCCCAACAGGCTCTCTCTCCATCCCTGTGTCTCCACTTGCCCCAACCCCAGCCCACCCTGTCTCTTGGACCTATTTTCTATGTTGCCTGGAGGAGTCCGGCACCCCCTCCCCGGCCATTTGTGACAAAATATGAATAAACTACTGCAAACATGTGGGCCCCAGTTCTGCTCCTGAAAAGGCTGAAGAGGAAATGGGGTAAGGGGATTCTATAGGGGGCAACTCTGAGTAAAATCCCCAATTCCCAGCATAGCTAGTCTCTCTCCATTAGCCCACAGACCATTTTGGGTACACCCCCACCCCCACCTGATGGATCAGAGGCTTCTAGGTCTTTCTGACAGCTGTGCTTCCACCCAGTCCTCTTCTGGCTGTGCCTGCTGAAAACCTTCCATCAGCCTTTCAAAGCACTACCAAGGTCACCAGCTCCAGAAAGCCCTTCCTGAGCCCACCCTTCTAGACAGCACCAAGCTTAGTTCCCTGGGCAAGGCAGAGATCCAGAGGTGTCTGCAACTCCCTTCAGGCCCCAGGAACAAGGTCCAAACAAAGTCAAGGAGATCAAATCTTCAATGTATGGAAAATCACTGCCATTTGGGGCCAGGGTCACCGGACCAGGTGGAAGGTCAGCCAGTATATGATGAGGGGCTGGAAAGCTGCAGCTCCCAGAGTCAGGTAGAGCTGGAGACGTTGCTGGGGCACTGGGCCCCCAACGCTGTCAGGACCCAGGGCTGCTGTCCGCAAAGAGCGCACCTGGAACAAACAGGAGCTGGAACTGGACCAGGACAGGGAGCCTTGTTCTCGACTCTGACCCCGGGGGGAAAGGGTAGGAGGGCAGCCCCAGACTCACAGTGAAGTACATGAGTGCAGAGGAGGTCCAGGCCAGTGCCACGTAGTAGCCATCACTGCCAAACAGAAGCCCTGTGAGCACGCTGAGGATCATTCTGTGAGGAGAGGGGGATTTGGAAGGGAGGAGGCTGCTGACTCTCCTAAAGGTCTAGGCCTGAGAGTCGACCTGCCCCCCAGGACCCAGAGCAAAGCCTAGAGCCCACCAACCAAGGGGCCCAGTCCTAAAATGAACTCAGCCCAGGAGTCAGCCTTAGGACCTGAATCTGAGCCCCCTTCTCTCCCCTATGCTCTCAGGGTGACTATCACATCTCCAACCTTCTGACTATCCCTCAATTCCTGAAGAAACTGTCAGAAACAGCTAGTCCCTCCAACAGAGTAGAGCCAGAGACCAAAAGGAGGGCAGAGGCATAGCCAGGGTCACAGTGTGAGGCTATAGCTATGCAGGCCCCCCACCCAGGTCACCTACTCAACCTTTGAGTGCTCACCCCACATATTTGTAGCCACAGTAGGCCAGCAGGTGGAAGGTGCTCAGGTCGCTGCGAACAGTGGCCAGGTAGAGGCCCAGGAGCAAGGCCAGCACTTCCATCACCACCCATATCAGCGCTGTACTGGCACACAGACCCAGCACCTCTGGGGAGAACCTGTAGCCACGGGGGCGGGGGGCAGTTCAAGACCAGCCATCCTGTGACAGAGATGAGGTGAGACAGGCAGGGGGTAGGGGGAGCAGTGGGCTGGGAAACTGGCACAGATCTAGGGAAATGGGGAGAAAAGCCAGGAGGGAGGAGAGGTGAGATGGAGGGGAGGGGAGAGGATTGGCACCGACCTTTTCTGAATGCCCAGTGCCATCCCTGCCAGCAGTACATAAGTGATGAAGGCCATTGCTGCCAAGATCCAAGAGATGCCATCAGCCTGAATTCTTCAACCAGTGTCCCCCACCAGGCATTCCAAGCCACTGATACTCCCACCCCCCTGCACTTCCCTGTGTGCCGCGACACAGCCTGACTCCCACGTGCAGATCTCTAACACCCTGCCTGGGCTGCCTTTCTCCCTGTGTAAATGCCACCTGACTGCTCTCTCAGGACCACAAGCCAGTCCCCTCCTTGCCCCTGTGCTAGAAAGCTCATCAGTGTTTCCTTCTTTGTCTCAGAAATCGCATCATTGGCCAAGGCCATTGTGCTTACAAGATGAGACCAAACTGATTTATGGGAAAACTGTATAATGTAGGTTTTTGTGGATATCCCAGACTGTCCCTAACATCCAGGGCCATGGAAATGACCTTACTTGAGCCAGGAAGTCTCAGTCTGGTCACTGGCACTGGCTATGGCTATAGCCACCCTGACCAGAGAATTCCCAAGTTTAATTCTGAACTGTTTGCACAAAACTCAGAGCCAGTGAGAGCAGCTTCAGCAGCAGTTTTAACTTTTTTAAGTCCTATCCACTGCCACCCCCCTACTTGAAGCACTAGAATTGATGTGACCACCAGAGGGCAGTGTCTGGAATTGGGAAAACAGTTCTACCTATAAACTTCATGGGCTAAATGATAACCACATCCCTCTGAGCCTTGGCTTCAATATGTAAAAGATGGTAGCTCCAGCCTTACACGGTGGCTATGAGATGCACATGGGATGAAGGCTGGAAAACCTTTGCCCTGTCTAGGGCATTTGGGCTGGCTGCCCTCCTCACTGGAAGCCCCTCTGAGGGAGGAATCCCTGGCACACTCACCTCACTTGCCCCAAGTGTGTCCACTAAGGTTCGAGCCCTGTGTAACTAACAGGACAGAGAAGAGCTGGTCAACCACAACACAGTATGGGTGGCCTGACGAATGCCATGTGAACAAGCAGTTATCGGAACCCAGAAGGGAGTGATCACTTGCTCAAGGGGGTCATAGGCAGCTTCCTGGAGGAGGGGATTCTGGAGCAGGTCTTAAAGGACAAACTGTAATACCTTATATTTACTGTATGCTTCCTACGTGCCAAGTGCTACACAAAAAATACCAAGAGCAGATAGTGAATTAGGAGTTAAGCCTCTCTCCCCATTCACACCTCAAGGCATAAGCCCTTTCACATTCCCCAGCCCATTGAGAGACTCACTGGGGATATAGAGGTCAGGGGCGTTGAGGTCTTGCCGTGGGGGCAGAGGCACATCGCGACTGTACTGTACTTCCCAGTTCTGGCAGTGGCAGCAGCAGCCAGGTCAGGAGACAAGAAAAGAGAAGAAAAGAGCTGAGGTCTAGGGGCCAAAGTTGGATGGGATGAAGGAGGCCCGCCAGTTCACCTGATAGAAAGCTCACCTGGTGTGTATAGGGGAAGACCAGCAGCCCTAGCTTCTTGGCTACATAGGCTGTGTCCACAGCAAAAAAATACTTGAGTTTGTTCACAGACACAAAACGGTGCAGCTGAGAGAGGAAAGAGGAGGCTATGGGCAAGCTGCACCTAAACCACAGGGTGCTCCTCTGTATGCTCCTTCCCTGAGGACTTCTGTGAGGATCAGGTGGGATTCCTTGGTGCCCCAGCCCAATCCAGAAATCCTGCCACCCTTGCCCTGGGAGAAGGTCACACCTCCTTGTGCACCATATCCTTCCCATGGGATGCGATGGAGCTGCCATAGGCCATAGCCACATTGGCTATTGGGTCCTCAAGCAAGTGGTTGACATTGAAGGCTACGTCGGCTCCTGGGACTGGGTATCCTCCTGGTTGGCTGGAATAACCACCGCTTGTGTCATCGAAGAGAGGAGGGGGATCCGGAGCTGTCCGGGCCCTGTACTTGGAGCCTGTGGATTTGGAGTACCAGAGTAGGTAACAGGAATACCACACATTAAGTCCAAACCAGTGCCCCTTCCCTTGGCTGGGCAGCCCTGTATAGGTCCTGGGAGTACCAAGCAATCCGTGGGGGAAATTCAGGCTGAAAAGTAGCTAATACAAAAAATAAAATCGATGAAGGATCCTCTGCCAAATGTAGGCAAATGAAGGATTGAGGGAGCGCCTGGAAGTGGTTGTCCATCTGGGGTTTCTGGGACCTGAGCTCTCAAAGTGATCTCTGAACTAAGCTGTGGAAAGTAAGTTTGCTAGGTAGAGAAGGCTATTGAAAAGGCACCTCTGCATGAACGAGTATAAGAAAGGAGACAACTGACTACCTGGAAGTCTTGGGCAGCGGTCAGAGACCTGCCGGTATTAAGGTACGGAAAGGAAATTCTGGAAGTGGACTCCATTCGAGCTTGGGTCGGGCATGGGGATCGTGGCTATGCTATTACCACCGGATCTCAGGATTGGGTCGAGAGGGCGAAGTCCGGGACACGTAGCAGTCTGGCGGTGCAGGAACCCAGAGGACACCCGCCGCCCTGGGCAACAGTCACCGCAGCTGTGTCTCTCTGGGCTGGCTGGCCGCGCCACCGACTCTCCTCCGACCGGCCAGGCCGCGCCCCGCCCGTCCCGCACCCCACGCACCGTGGGCTCCGTAGCCCGAGTGATAAGCCATGGCCGCGACGCTCACTCTCCTGAGGGCCCGCTGCGCCGACTCGCAGATACAAATACTAATGAGACAGCCGCTCTACTCCCAGGGCACAGACCGAAGTTACCCCGCAGCTCGACACGTCCCCGGGCTGGTCGATTGCGGCCGCCATATCCACTGCGTCATACCCCACCGTCTACCATTGGCTCTCCAGTGGCTCCGGTTCGCCTCACCCCTCTCCCAATTGGCTACTGGTACACCCTCACCAAAGCGGATTCGGCCCCCCGACTTCCGGACGAGGGGTAGGCGGAGCGATCTGAGGCTCTCTTGGATTGGACAGCGGGTTTGCTAGTCCGCAATGGAAGCAGCCAATAGATGGATTAAAGTAGTAGGGTGTTAAGAATTATTTCCGCGCCTGCTCAGTGGGGAACCTGATTCTCGACCTGCCACGACTACACCGAGACCCGGCAGGAGGGAACCCGTGGTTGGCGTCAGGGAACTAGGCTTCACTACTGTGATGGGACGTACTCTAGAAGGAAATAGGGCGGTCTGGCTTTAACCAAGCCACACCCCTCCCTCTCTATGCTCGCTTTCCTCCCTGTGTACCTCACACTACCCAATCGTAGGATCGAGTCCTGGCAGCCAGGAGGTGGTGGGAGGCCGGGCCAGGCAGTGACAGCGCACTCAGAGAGCCCCAGAATTCTGACTCCTCCCTCTCCTCCTTTCCTCACGGGTGCTGTCCTCTTGTCCAGTGCTGAAAATGCCCTGCCCTCTCCGCCGCCATCCTGCAAACCATCGCGGGGGCCTGCTGCTGATGGCCTGGGAATTCTATCCACATGCTCCATCGCGCGAACACACACACACACACACACACACACACACACACACACACACACTGAAAAAGGCCCAGAAGACTCGAAGTCCCAGAGATTGAGTGGCATAGCTGCGGCAGGATCCTGCGGCAGAACTGTCCCACCGACTTTCCCAAGGTCCAGCCCATTTGGGGGTGAAGGTGAGCTGATCCGTCTCCTAAAGCTGCGGTGGAAACTCCTGAGTCATATCGTCAGTCCTGTTATTTTCTTGATGTGAGATTCCCAAGCCTTACTCGTACTCCAGGGGACTCCTTTCTCTCCACCCAGATTCTGACCACTCCCACCTTCCCTGGAGACAGTCTTCCGGGTCTCACTCACAAACCTTCACCCGCCACTTTCTAGAGAGCACCGATCGGTCCTCTATAACCTGTCTTTACTTAGCTACATAGCGTCTAGTCGCACCAGGTGACCTTCTTGCTTCCCAAACTCAGTGGTCTGATTGCAGTGCCGTGGGCCAGAAGTCCCTTCCACTTGGGATGCCCTTCCCCCCTCATATCCACTAGTCCAAAGCCCAGTTATCCTTTAGAGTGAATTCAGTTAGCACCTCTCAGATTCTCAGAGGGACAAAGGGAACACTGGCATGACCTGGCCTGGGGTGGAGGCCAGAAGCCTGGTTCTAGGTGTCCCTCTGGGTATACCCAAGGGACCAACATATAAATTCCATAAGGACAGGGACTATGTCTTTCTCCTACCCTGTTTTCTCAGTGCCAGGCACAGTCTTTACATATAGAAAAACACCCAATAAGTATCCCTGCACGATAAGTAAATAAGTACATGAATGAAACCTTTGACCAATCCTTTTCTCCTACATCTCACCTCATCTTTAAATGGGTAGGGAGTATTTAACTAAGTGGTCTTTAAGTTGCTCTTTGTCCAAATACACAGACACGAACACATACATACACACATCAGAAGCAAAATAACCCACCCAACTTTGCAGCTCCCTCTGCACCACTCACTGTCTAGTCTGTGGGATGGGGGGCAGACTGAGACACAAGTGTGAGGACCAGAGGCCACTGAGGGTCAGGGAGCAAGCAGCATGGGGTCACCTGGGAGGGGGTTATGCCATGTGGGACAGAGCCCTCTCCCCTGCATGACATGATAAATGCTTGTGAATTTAATACTTTTCCCTCCCTGGTTCTCAGATGGGAAAATGGAGTGGGGGCAGAGAGTGCTGGCCCAAGTCATGAATTCTAGGGTCCCCGGTGTCTGGATGTGCTTAGCTTCCATCTCTCCACCCTGAGAGATAGAACCTCAAAGGCTCCCACCCACCTTCAAGATCCAGCTTCCTCATTTTACAGCCTGGAAAACTCAGGCGCCAGAAAGCAAGGACTCTTTCAAGGTCGCAAGCCCGAGCGGCTGGAGAACTCAATCGTCCTGCCGCCCAGTCAGGGCTTCTTCGGGCGGACGGGGGGGACTGGGGTGGGGACGCCCCCGGTGCCAGGCGCTGCCAGCGGCGCCGCGGGTGCCGCGGGGGCGGGGTCAACGGAGGG